GATGTTGAAACAAGTTGGAGTAAGCCCCCAAGGAACTTTGCAGGAGTTCCACTTTATAGGAACAAAGATTTCTCAATATTTGCGTACCCTGGTCATCTAATGGGTTCACATTCACAGACACGCTGTCTAACTACTCAAGAGATGAAGGCAGTTGAACTTTATGTCCTACTAAATTGTAAGGAAGTTGATGCGCTTCTTAGGTGAGATATGACAAACTAAACTCCTTTTTATTAAATTTTTAGAGTAAGCTTGCTGAATTATAGCAGGAAAGTTCAACATTCCATTTTTTTTGTCACACCTAATTGTTTCCATATTGCAACATCTTTGATCGAGAAGTTGGTGTATATATGACCCCTTCTAATCCACACGAAGCACGCACTAGAAGTTTTGTTATGTGGTTCAAAGATAGGGCAAACAATATTTTTCATCATGTCATGTTGTTTCAAATATTATTATATACCTATACATATATAGTCATATACAATATATTAACTAATTGAGTTTTTAACAAAAATATTATAAATTTGACTAATAACACGTACATATAAATTTGGTAGGTGTTAAATGACTATCATAAAGGGAATGAGGTTTTGCAATACCTTGCACTGAGCCCCCATCATGGACAGTGAATGTGTATAGAGGTTATTATGTCAATGGTTTTAAATTTATGACACAAAAAGCCAGTAGTGAATGACAAACATATAACTGTGGTGTATATGTGAAAGGAACAACTATATCTGATGATGCTGAGACTGATTATTATGGCATCATTAACAAAGTCATCAAACTATTGTATTATGGACCATATGCGCAAATGCAGACAATCGTCTTATTCAATTGTGATTGGTTCGATACACGTAGGGAAACATGCATTAGCCAAGTTTACAACATTGTTGAGATCAACCCACGATATCAACTGTCGACTGGTGAGCCATTTTGCTTTGCGTGTCAAGCAATGCAAGTGTATTACAATAGTTACCCATCAGATAATCGAGCAACTCATGGATGGTTCGCCGCATGCAAAATACATGCTAGACATTTGATTGACGCTTCTTCAACCTCACTTGATATGGAAGGAATATTCTAAGATGAAGAGCCACCATCCACACAATCAAATGAGCATAATTCCAATTTGGCATCTACAGAACGCGTGGAACTGCATGCAGAAGGAGCAACAATGGTTGACTTAAATGGAGATGCAAATGATGATGTTGATGAAAATGCGAGTGAAGGAAATGAAGGATATGAAACAAGAGGCGATGTTGGTGGTGATAGTAGTGAGACTGAATAGTCCTTAAATAATTGAAGTTCATGTACAGTAATAGTTTTAAAATTTGGTTGTCATTAAAAAAAAATAAATCTTCTGTATAAGACTTCGTAATTAACAAATATACTTATGAATGATAGTGACTATTTCTTCGATTTTTATTTCATTGCCATTATTTATGATGTTGTAAATGTTTATAAAAAGAAAATTTATAAACTACACATATATTTATTTAGTGACATTAGTACTAACCTATTTTATGTGACCATATGTTTTGCAGGATGTCGGGTGGACCGATCAACTCTGCGTGTAGTCGCAATACATCAGGGAAACGAGGATGTCACAACACTGTAGATCTTGCATGTGACATTACCCCAATATTGGACGTGGGGCATACTCGGTCTATTAGTCCATAAGGTTCTATTCATGCAACAGCCTCATCCCATAATGAGAAGCAAAAGGGAAGAGGTTCGAACAAACCAAAAAAGGCTACAAGAAGACTAGATGATAGACCATTTATACAAATTTCACATAAAGGCACTTTTTTGGATGTTGAAGTCCCCAGATTGATTATGACCTTATGGAAGAGGGTTTATGATGGTGATTACTTCACCTATGACTTGTTCCCAAAACACAAAAGGCTGCAAGTGTGGGAGTTGTTTAAAGTAACAGTAATTATCATTTCATACATAATCCTTCCATCAAATATGTATCGTATGATTAATGATAACATAACAACATATATGATGAAGTATAAGTCACTATTGTTGGTGTATTGATCGATATAGGTAATTTAATGGTATGAGTACTACATACAC